CAGATCTGCGGCTTGGCCGTTGAGACTCTGAAGGGTTGTCTTGGTCAGGTCGCTCAAGTGCGAGTTGGCGAGAAGCTCGTTAGTCTTTGCTTGGACTTCGCCAGATGCCCTGTCGTAGGCATCTAGGTCCTTGGTGGAAAGGCCAAAGTTCGATACCATCAGGCGTCGGACGACGCGTTGCTCATCAGCGATAGAGCTCGGTTGTTGGAGCAAGGCATCGACCAGGGCAGGCTTGAAGACGACGGTGTGGATGCCGCTGAAGAGGCGAATGGAGAAGATGCCTTCTGAATACCGATTCCGCAGCCTCGTCAAGGCGAAGCTGGGATTGAAGAAGAGTCTGGGAAGGTGACCGAGATAGGGGACCCAGTACGGCGCGAGTGGAGGACTCTTGGATCCACCCTTCAAGGAAGAAGCACCGCCAGTGATGAATCTTGTGGTGAGAAGCACGATGACGACGGCACAGGTAATGGTGAAGGCGGTCGGTTGCTGTGGATTGTTCATGAAGCCCTCACTAAAAGTGCTTGACTTGGCTGTGGTGCCATCCATGTTGAGGCGACACGGTACGGTTTTGGATCCTTGGATTGATGGTTCTGGTGAGATGGCCACGTTTGAGGCAACTTGTTAATCTCACAGGCCGTCGAGGCTGACAAGAAAATGATCTGTGTTTAGTGGATGGACCCAATCGTTGTCAGTGCGCCCCGCCAATGTGTCCACTGTAGGGGAGGGCTAGTCTAGGTAGTAGTCCACTGAAACTCCAGCGCTCCATGCCATGAGCGCCCACCAGACCCATTGCCGGGCATATTTTAATCCTGAGCTTCAGCTTTAAACCTCAGTTTCGGCATGAATAAGATATGATCCAACACAGTTTAGTAAGTTTGGTTCGAAAACGCGGTATAGAAGAACCGGCCTTGCGGAGTTCAAAGTCTTGCCCGGGCACATGAGGGTTTCCATGCTGTGTTCGCCTATCGCTAAAGCATGAAAGTAGGATGGATGGCTATACAGCTTCGGTTCTGCCTGGCAGACTCCTATATTAGAACCACGCTTACCTTTCTGTCTGCAAACATAGTCCTAAATTGACGAGACTTGAGGAGAGCATCGCAGCTTATAATTAGCGACTTCATCACCTCCTTGGTGTTTGAAAGTCTGCGGCATGAGCTTTAGGTTTCTCTGTAAGTCACACGGCAAAGTATTTGCCTCAGTATCCATACTTTTCCTTTCCTGCCTCGACGGCGTAATACCCTCTCCTTTTTCTTTCTTCTTTAACATTCAACATATTTGCTTCCCTACTCTGCGAGTAAAACGACCAGAAGATCACCGTGGAAACGTCAGGGGAAGGTCAAAACTCAGCTGTCGGCAACCACAAGTGCTCTAATCCGACTTCACACAGCCTAGAAGTACCACCCATCCTTAAAACCAAGCCATTCCAACAACCCCCGGATGGCAGGATAGTCGTCCTGAGCCGCTTTCCGGGTGCGGGAAAGTTTACAGTCCTCAAGCAGATCAAGGAATTGCTCGCTGCCGAGACGACCTGCCTCATGGACAACCATCTGCTCATCGACCCCATAGTGGCTGTCACTCCAGATCAGGGTGACGAACACCACGAGCCGCCCATCTTGAGACGCTAGGAAAACGAGCGCAGGAAGGCCACGTTATTCTCATCACAGCACGTCTGGTCGAAGATAACAAGTGGGACGCTGCCTTCTCCAGGAGCATCTCGACATGGCGCGTAGGGTTGAGGTGCCTATCTTCTGGGTAAATGTACGTTGCAAGCATGAGATCCTGGAGCATCGCGTTAGTAGTCCCGAGCGCCGCCAAGGAATTAAGACGAAGCTGACGAATGCGCGTGTTCTCTGGGACCTAGTGCACAGCACCGTCTCATTGAGCCGCGCAAGAGCAATGACGGGGAGACGATGCTGGTTGTCAAAACCTTGGACGTGAGCGGGCCGGTGGATCTTTCTGTTAGCCGCCTGATGAGTATGATCGGGATTCCATAGTGTTCAGCCGGCGTAAAGCTGCGGTACCAGAATAGTTTGTTCTGTCCAATGTGCGATGAGAGGTTCCCCTTGATTAGGATGTTGCGGCACGGTGGATCTGAGCATGACATCTAGCGCGTTTGGCTCTATGCGGAATTTGGCTTGTCGGCGTCGCAGACAAAGACTAGAAGTCGATGTCGGGCATGAGAGTGTTCTTGCGGAGTGCATAACCCGCGGTTGAGCTTCTAGTCTACGCTATATAGACGGTTTGACGACGATGTGAAGTTCAGGGACTAGTATCCACTCTTGAGGAACTCTTTGTTTAAAATGTTTGATCTTGTTAAGTATACCCTGGATGTTGTTAATGATTGGAATTAGATGGCGTATAGCTACTTGTCCAAGTTAGCAAACTGTTCGTGCCAGCAGCCCTTCAAGGGGGAGCCATACAGGTAGGATGTGCCGTCGTCACGGATTATATCCTCGATCTAGCAGTTGTACCTAGCTACCGCTCACTTCAAAATACCTAGAGATCATCTTCTAGTTCGACAGTAGAACGTGGACTAGGAAAGCACAAACTGGGATTGAAGTGAATGGCAATATCCGGGGTTGTGTTGTGGTTCCGAAGACATGGGGACTCGAGAAGGTAGAAAGAGGAAAAAGAGGAGAACTGTAAGAGAAGTGACTGTAATGCGAGTAGGATGTGGCCTGCATAAAAATAGAAAGCGTCGAGTCGACCAATAAGCACTCCATCATCGTTTACCCGGTTATGCTCGAGTTCTGCAGTATCGACTTTGACGTAAGTTCGCGTTGCATGCATGCTCTTGCAAATGGGCACATGACTTAATCGACCCATAAAAAGGTAGACAAGAAGTAAATAGTAGGTAAGTAGCCTGTCTTCCTTCTTACCTGATGGACAGTAATAGATGGTGATAGCGTTGTGTAAGCGTCAAAAAGTCTAAGAAGAAAGGGTCTGGCCGGGGATTGAACCCGGGACCTCTCGCAAGCTAAGCTATAGGGTTTTCCCTAAGCGAGAATCATACCGCTAGACCACTAGACCAGAACAACGGTGAAGTTGTCGTGTTTGAATCACGTGATCACAACCATCTTCACACATACAAGTAGACGCGTGAGCTAGCTATGTTCGCGGGCTCCACACCAAAGAATCTATATTTGACTTTTGAGACGCCAGTTTTTAACGATCCAGCCAATCATAGTCCGGTATGGTGTAATGGCTAACATTTCGCGCTCTCATAACCTGAGAGATCTGTTCCGCGGAGCTCAGGGTTCGATTCCCTGTACCGGAGTCATATGTCCTATTTGTGAGGCACCTTTCCTTTTGTGACTTGCTTTTTTGATGGATGGACTGAGGTTGAAGGAGAAGAGGGACGGAGGAACAGTGAGAGGGTGATGTTAGTTCTAGCATCGTTTAACAAACAACGAACGAGCCTTACTGTTTGCCTTTCGTGTGTTAGTTACTTGTCTTCTTATCATGTCTAATCTAGCAAACTACATACATATACTATGCGTTTTGACGTTAGTTGCTTGCTGCCTGTCTGTACCTACTAGTATTGAATGCCGTTTGTTAAATATGGTCGTGCCTTTGGGCTAACCTACGGAGGTTATGTAAGATGTGTGACAAAAAAAGAGAAATTGGTTATCACAACGCGAATAACTTGAAGCCCTAAGAGCTAGAGGGGTCACTGACTTCACGTTTCTCAGTTGTGCATTGAAATCTTCGCCGTGATGTTACTTGCCTACAGCGCTCACAGCGAAAAAGAGTATATTGTATCCTAGCCGTCTTCAGGCGACACAAATGGAGCCGAGCTCGGTTCTTGAGCTTCTCGTCGTGAATTTAACTCGCGTGTGAGGACGCTCAGAGAGTCTCCTTCTCTTTGATCCTTGTAGCGGGGTACATAGATCTAAGAGCATTACGCAAGCTTCCCATATAGAACGATAAAGTCAGTACTAGTAGTAGTTTATCAATCTGAGTCAGGCCATTTTTGCAAGTTCATTTTGAAGTCATATAGAGTCGACGGGTTAAGGTATATTTGCGGTATAAAGAAATTGTCGTTACGATGATGCCGACTTGCTCCTCGCATGATTGATATTCGCCATAGCGAGGTTCACCCCTGGCTGCTAGAACTAAAGAATAAATCTAAAGTTCATATCTATATATTTCTTATCAGTATTACGCTAGGCTAGTTAGTATGCACTCAAGACACCTATATAACTGTGCAGGTAGGTCTCGTTCAATCAGTCGTTGAGCCGTAAGAGAGATCTTCTATGTCATAACCCCTAATCTTTTCTTTCATAGAGTAGAGGGCTTTTCAGTTAAATTAGCGCTTAGTTTACTTCTTATATTGAGAATACTCCTTTGGGTTTAAGTGAAAGGTATTGTTTAGGTGATCTATAATGTTAGGAACTAAGTTACTTTGTTGGTGGGAGATGCAGCCAGTGCAACCAACCACCCCACCAAAGCTGTCGACTTGGAATAGGGGATAATTAGATAAAACAGATGCTCAAGCAATAACCTAGAACGCTGTTGAGACCGAATAACTTTCAGACACTAGATACAATGCTTCTAAGTGACATCAAGCTGGAAGAAAATGGATTCAAGTGATAAAAGCTGCTGCGACAGCTTAGGCAAGATAAGGCAAAGGATAAAAGGTAGGTTCAAATTGTAAAGAAGGAAAAAGCGTGCTTTCCCCGAAGACTGGGCAAAGCTACTACTTTAAGTAGTGACCTTCAGCCGTAAGGCCCTATGCGCATTAAACTCCGGCGTGTTATTCAGCACCACCACACTACGCAGTGAATTATCCTGTGTGTAATAAAGAAAGGCATTCTTTGGCCGAAATAAAAGCATGAAAGAAAACAAGATAAAACAAAGTGTGCGAAACCAAAGAAGACTAAGTAATAGCTGTTTAATTTAACAGTAGAGAGTAATGATAATAGTTAGAAAATAGTTTAACAAAACTCATACTAAGTATATATAACCCTACTGATTGGCAATAATGTTATAATACAGCATCCCCTATAGCTTAGTTAGCTAAAGCGTCCAACTGTTATTTTATAGACTATCGGGAGATCAGAAGTTCAAGCCTTCCCGGGGGGGGGATTATAATAGTCTGGATTATCTTCTTATGTGCTCACTTGTCTATTATTTTTGTACTGTGGGTAGACTGTCTTTAAGTCTCACGAGTCCCCTTAAGCCATGTCCGGTCTTTTGCTTCGACTTATTCCTTTTTACAGCTGAGGGCACTGAGAAATTGACAGGACCACAGGTCAGGCGAGCCAACCAAGCGATTCCAGCGCAAGCTGGGGATCAGACTACAGACTGCAGTTTTGGCATATTTTATTGTAGACCGCCATAACTTCCCTAAACTAATAGTTAGTAGAATATGCATATTGCATTTATCATTGGTCAGCAGCTCGCTCTGTTCATGCACTGATAGACTGTATATTCTTCTCTTTACCCCTGGTGCTCCTTGTAAGTGGGAATGCAATTTTATTAAGATGAGTAGGAGAAATGTGGTTGAATAATTATCAAGAGCTGAAATGCTATAGAGATGCCTCAATAAAGCTGAGTAGCTCGTCATAAGCCGTCAAGCTATGCATATGGTAAGAGCTAGCTATGACACTGTCTAAACGATAACGTGCAGACTGATCTTTGACCCAACGGAATCACATCGATCGTGCTCTGGGTCCACATAAGACTCGTACAATAGGTAGATAGGTAAGCAGGCACCTGCATATTAGGGAATGAGAAGCTAATAGTTATCCAATCCTGGACTAACTCGTGTCTCCGTAGTTTACTAATCTGTGTTAAAACACTCAATGCAGGGGGAATGCTGTCTGGTAGAGGTCCCATAACCGGCGTCAGTGAACCTGTGAGGGCAGTAGACACCATACTTGGCTCTTTTGGAACCAAGTGTTGGACCGGCGACGAAGTCCAATCTGCCTACGGGGCTTAGTTGACAGAGCCACTGGAGCAAAAAGTTCCCCTCAATAAATTTGTCTTGTGGTAGGAATGCCTTGTACGACGAAGGAAAGAGATCGACAATGGGATGAATCACAGCATGAAGTCACCTCGTTTCATCTACCTTGCCACTGTCACCGCTGATCTAACGAGGAGGCTAGCCGCCGAAGAAGCAAAGCTCTGCTCGGGGTTTTTAAGAAAGGCGTCTTGGTGTTAAAAGGAGGGGCCGATGTGAGGGAATTAGAAACTCCTTTCGCAAATTAGTGCCCTTTGGCCAACGTGCCATTACCAACAAAAGATGACATGTTGGGTGGCTATGCCAAAGGAACAGACTTGTTGCGGCGGAGCATTTCAACATGACATCGGATAATCTCCAGACTGTGCCTGATAGGAACTGCCCTCGGATTACCGTTCTTGGGTGGATTTGGATGTTATTGCAATGGGGATTAAGCATGGGTTCAAACCGGGATCTGCAAGACGGAATCGGTGAAATGAAGACAAGTGTGGGGCCGTACAAAAACCGTGGGACTCGGACCCGTGTTGCCGGGGGCCGGGACGAGACTGGCCCACGGCGGTGGCGGAGCAGTAAGGACTAAGGAGGAGTCGGGCGGTCGGGAGATGAGGCAAGAAGCGCTCAGCCTTAATTGAAGATGATCTTAAGCACTTCGATTGCTTACATTGGCGAAAGGTAGATTTAATTTGGGGTTACTTCGTACAGCCTCTTGAAAGTGGAAATTCAAGCCTGCCGAACGTCATGTCGGCGCTGACTTTTAGTGGCCGGGCGATGCGATTTGCATTAGGCCAGAATCGAGAAGCATTCTAGTGTAGGCATGCCGTTGCCAGGTTACCAGGGCATTTCCCCATTCCCTCGTTCTCGGCCATTTCCCCATGCAGATCGATAACAATGGGAGACGAGGGGAAATTCTGGTCAGTCGATTGTCACCGCCAAGCCAGACTCTTCTTGGCCGACGTCGATAAAGCGACAAAGATTGAATTGGGTTGTACTACGGAGGCGGTGCAAATAGTCATGCTCCGGTGTTCCGGGAAGACGATAGGCTGTTACGCTTGTGATTGGACGGTTTCGCTGCGAAGATCAGTTGAGCACACCACCTCGTGGACGGGACAGCAATGTTCGAGTCGGGTTGAGTGAGTTAGAATGCAGCACTTTTGCAAGGGCTCTCTTGGTAGCTGGGCGAGTTCGTGGTTTCGTGGGCCGAGGACGAGGTCGAGATCGCGGTCGAGGTCGAAAAGCTGGGATGTGATGCATTGTTGGCCAGGGGAGTTTACGAGGTGAGCCAAGCGAATCAGTAGCGATCAGGTGTGAGACTGAGTTGTCCAAATGCATGATGATGGCTCAAGTAGGGCACTCGGCACGACGAGAAGCGCAAGCATCACGCCGATCCGGGGGAGCAGTCAATTAACTGATTGTCGCCTTGGCCACTCCGTATTGGTTAATTGTTGGTCGGAATGCTGGAAGAAATGGAGACTGGGGAGCGGTAATGGAGGGTGGCGAGTGGGTTGTCATGAGAGTGCCCAGAGGTGTTAGTGCAGGGCCGACTAAAATCGAGCCGGAAGAGTTCTGGCCCGAGGGATGAGGTCGCTTGGCGTGCTTTCGGTGAGCACCTCAGATAATGATAAGAACTGAGAAGGCCTCAAGTTTCTAATTGTCCGTTTCTCACTACTAAGTATGCCGCTTAGGTTGACTTGAAACGTTGGGCAGCCGTCGGTTATTGCAGAAAGCAGCATGCTGGGCGAGACGGTGACAGTATCGTGTCGTATTCGTCGTATCCTGCCTGACATGATGCGCTATGAATTGCTGGAGCCTGGGCGAGGACGTGGGCCGTGTAGCCGTGAGGGACGCTACCAGCGCAACCCAGGGAGGTCCCTGCCCCGCACCAGCTCTGAGGCACGGCCAATCAAATAGCGGCTGTCGGCGAGGAAGCTGCAATGCCACAGGAAAAGTGGAGCGAGGTCGGCGGGGCATGGATCTGAAGGAGGGTTGAGTGGGTGGGGCCTGATGGAAGCTCTGAACACTGCAGGGAGCAGCAGGTGCGCCCCGGCACAAGGGCAGCTTCCATCGCCCGGGGTTAGTGCGTCTCGTGCGGTGACCCGTGTGTCACAGCGTCACTGACTGTACTCGACGTTCGCCAAGATTGTTGTCTGAGGTGTCGATGAGGAGATTAAATACCAAACCACTCCCCCGCCCGAAACATAAGACTACAGTACGACACGACCTCCACGTCTCACACCATCACCACTTCGCATCCTCACAATATCGCATTCTACTCGCGCCTTTCCCCCCAACCGCAACCATTTCGTCACCAAATAGAAACCATCCATACGTAAAGATGGCCACCTCCATCCCCGAGGTCCACGTCAATGGCGACAGCTCGTCCAAGGCGCCCGAGGCCCCCGCCGTTGGCTTCCAGACCCAGTCCAAGATGGCCGTTGTCCCGCCCAAGAAGGAGGATCTCCAGCGCAGCTATGCCACCATCGTCGAGAACGACGCCAACCCTAAGGGCTGGTACGGCACCATGAGTACGCTTCGTGTCTTGTCTGTGTCGCAGATGCATCCGCTAACATGGCATCCACAGTCAACGCCCTTGGCAACGTTGTCGGAACTATGGGCGCAATCCCTTGCTGCATCATCTGCCCCAACCCATTCAAGAATGTCCAGCAGGGTAACGTCGGTCTCGTCACCAAGTTCGGCAAGTTTTATAAGGCCGTCGACCCTGGTCTTGTCCAGGTCAACCCTCTGAGCGAGCGCCTCATCCAGATCGACGTCAAGATCCAGACCGCCGAAGTCCCCGAGCAGATTTGCATGACCAAGGACAACGTCACTCTTAAGCTCACCTCGGTCATTTACTACCACATTATCGCTCCCCACATTGCCGCCTTTGGTATCCAAAATGTCCGACAGGCTCTCATGGAGCGTACCCAGACCACCTTGCGCCACGTGGTTGGCGCCCGTGTTCTCCAGGATGTCATTGAGCGTCGAGAGGAGATCGCCCAGTCCATTGGCGAGATTATTGAGGATGTTGCCGCTGGCTGGGGTGTTCAAGTCGAGAGCATGCTCATCAAGGACATCGTTTTCAGCCAGGAGCTCCAGGAGTCCCTTTCCATGGCCGCCCAGAGCAAGCGTATCGGTGAAAGCAAGATCATCGCTGCCAAGGCTGAGGTATCTTATATCCCTATTCCCATCCGCCCCGGTCGACCGTTGTGCCTTACAATTGGAAATATCACTAACACAAAATCTCCAGGTCGAATCCGCCAAGTTGATGCGTCAAGCCGCCGACATCCTTAGCTCTGCCCCTGCCATGCAGATCCGCTATCTCGAAGCTATGCAGGCCATGGCCAAATCGGCCAACAGCAAGGTCATCTTCCTTCCTGGTGCTAGCCAGAATATGGGTGGCGCCCTCAATGCCGCCATGGCCGCCAACACGACTGGCGAGTCTAGCACTGGCAACCAAGACGGTGGCTACAATGACTTTGGAGGTCAGGACCCGGGTTTCCAACAAGCCATGCATGCCCGCATGGTGGAGAATCTCTAAATGAGTGTCATGATTATCGGAGCACCGCGGCTAACGCTTGAGGATTCCCTCGACGGGAATAGGCTGGTCTACTTGATTTCGAAAGCATCTCAGTTGCTCGCCTCGACTTCAACAGCAGCGCCGTGTTGTTTTCCTTTTGACCAAGGGAAATCTTCGAGTTGGTGCTTATAGCTTGACTCTCGCATGCCCTCGTTTTAATGTTTGCTTTCACAACACCCGATACCCTCCTGGCAACAAGCCCTTTAATACCCGCTCCTCCACCAACACGCATATTCAGCTGTACGTATTTGATCTCAGTTTTCTCGAGACGTCCGCAAAAGATGGGTCGTGATGGAGATGGATGTGGCGGAAACGATGATGTGCCTCTTCTGGCAAGATGTATACCCAGATGGCCCGAAAGGGCACCGGATTTGGGAATGGATCATGTTTTAAATGTTGGATATGGATACCCAAACTCGTTCGTTTAACTCTTCCGATTCTTGTATGTATACCGTACAGTGCGCCGTTTTATCGAATTGATTCATGGCCTTTTGTCTACCGCTGGGAGCATTTCGTTGCTACTGATGACATATGTGAGAACTCGTTGAAC